TATATAGCATAGGATTTTTCATCCTTTTATGTTCTACTTCTACATTCGGTATTTTCACGACACCTGTACAACATGACTGAATGCATTGTGGAATCACTGTCAGCGCTTGCCTATTAAATTCGGTCACCGCACGCCACTGTTTGAATTGTCATCAATAATTATTTACAGTTGAATAGAGTGTTATAAAATGTTTGTATTAGCCTTTATAAAAAAAAAAGAAAAAACTTCAAAGAAAATGGATAATAAATGATAAAGTAATAAATGCTATTTACCAGTCCAAGACAATGTTAAAATGTTGCAATTGTTTGTTGAGGTTAGGTTTAAGTTTCTTGATGTAAGGGGCTTCTTTGAGTTTAAGAGCGAAAGGAGTGTGAGCGAGTGGTCTCCAACTTTTCCACACAGATTAAAGAACATACAACCATGAACTCACACATATTCAGACACTTACTCTCGTCACCACACTGCAAAAAATAATCACACGCAATCCTGCTTCCGTATCTTAGACACCGCTCACACTCATTTTGCCCTTAAACTCAAAGAAGCCCTTTTTATCAAGAAACGTAAACATAACCTCAACGAACAAATGAACATTTTAACTTTGTCTTCGATTTGTAAATAACAATTATTACTTTGTCATTTATTATCCATTTTCTTTGTACTTTTTTCGTTTCTTTTATAAAGCCTAACACAAACATTTTATAACACTTTACTCAACTGTAAATAATTATTCATAACTATTCGATACTTCCGCTTTATTACTATATACATATTATTATGTAAACTTTCTATATTCATTGATTTTGCCCTGAAAATGGCATAAAGTATGCCGAAACATGTTTGCTCTAAAGAAATTAGTTTGAATAGTGCATGCAAAATAAACGAAAGTTTTTTTTATTGTTATAAACAAGTTTTGACTAACATTAAGTCATCAGTAGATAACGTGCAGCCTTGTCACACTTTGTCACGGAGCTCTTAAAAATGTCAGTTAGTTTCCAGACATCCGAAGTTAATCGGAGGGCGCAGTTTTAAACCGAAACAAGGTAAATGAACGAGACTTGTCACTGGATAACATAGTTAACCGGAAACACGTCAAAGTTGAAACATGCATGCTATTGGTGAAGTAACTTTATAGTTCAACTTCCTTTTTCATTCTAAGGTAAAACAACCGATAAATAACGATGTAAAAGACCTTTTCAAGGTTAGCGCAGTCATATTGTAAGGGGTGCAAAAAAACATTGGGCCGAGCGCACTGTCACCCATGGCGTTCATATAAATTAAGAATAAATGTGCAAAAATTACCCTTATACCTACTGGCCATTTCTTTTAAAAATATTTCTAAGCAAGTCGATTTTACTATTCAAATTATTATTTGCGATTTTTATACGTTTGAGTCCAATTTTGTGGTAGTCAAATAGCAGAAAATTTAAGAAAATATTTGTTTTCTTTAAACAACGTGACCGTCATGACCGTTTTGAGTTCGCAAATATACGGAACACATAAGCCAAGTCAAACGAGCTAACCACTAACCTACCCGAGTAGCCGTAAGCAAAGGTAAATAATGCACGTTGTGCAGTTGTATAGTGCGATAATGATAAACTCTATCCTGATTATTAAGTTAGGAGGTCCCACGTAGAAAAGTTTGTTTTTCATACAAGTGGCCCAAAGACCAAGCACTTGATGAAATTTGGCGAAAACAAATTGCAAACAACAGCGCCGATAATGTTAAAGTGCTTATATTACGAATTTTAGCCCTCCTTTTTTATGAGCTTAATTGAAAATTTGGATTATTTGAAGAGCTATGACATGTCGCTGGACTTAAACAGATAAATATAAGTTCCTTAATTTTGCCTCCAAATTCGGGTACTATTTGCGAATTTTTTACGACGCCATATCGATACTTGTGACGTAGATAGTTGAACAAGTCTGTTTCCGTCAAAATAATATTATACTATAGGAGGTGATTTTGTTGTCGTTTTTCTTGTCTTAAAAACAAATAATGACAGTATTTTCAATAAAATATTAAAAAACAAGTTTTCCAGAAAGTATGGCCTCAAATCAGTGCTCAGATAATTCAAATTCGATGACTGAATGCGTATCTGATCCTAGCTCGGAATCCGTGGGTTATGTCGAGCATTTGAATGACTTCGCATATGACGATGAACCGCTCGCAGGAGATGGTGATGAAGTGCATACTCCCGATAATCCCGATGGAATTCTCCCTGCGACATTAGAACAACGAAGTGATGGCGTAATTCCACTCGGTGAATGGTAAGTTGCTGTTTTCTCCTGTTTGTAATATACATAAAGTTACTTTATTAACAAAATGCTCCCACGTTTCAGGTGTAATTGTCAATGCTATCATACCAATTTGTTAGAAGGCGCATTAGAGTACAGATGCTGCAAGGAAATAGGACCAGCTTTGCAGATAATGACATTCGATGGCAGCGTTGAGAAAATATCATGCATAACCCAGCATGCCAAATTTGGATCTTTAGTTCATGAGGCTGTCCTTGAAAACTTCGGACCACTATTGAGAGTTAGGAATGATCGTGCTTATTGCCTCCAAGCATCACAATGATTAAATATGTAAGATTGTAAATTGTATGAGAAACAATGTTATCATCAACATTGTTTCATCAACAATAATTAGTCCAACCTTTTTATTTACTTCAGGTACTTGAGAGCGGTGGCATACAGATGGTTGATGCGATGGTTTATTGGGTCTATGGGATGGGAGAATACTCGGCCTTTACCTGCTTGCGTTTACCACTTTATTCGGAAAGCATATCCAAGTGATAACACAAAAGGTTACATAGCATCATTGGGGCGGTGATGGAAAGGTCTTTTAAAGGACATGGGACGTATATTTTAAGTTAGGCTTAATTAACGGGAAATATCGCATAGACTTATAATATACCTTTGTTAGTTCAACCAAAGTTTTTGTCTTCATGTAACAAAGGTTTTTCTGACTCCAATTTAAAAGTTCCGCGGCCATTTTGATTTGTTTTGAATATAATGTGATATGCAGATTTATGCAATGACGTCACAACTGGGAGGCATATCTGGTAACACAATATACTTTTATATGTGTTTTGATGAAGTCATTGTGAATTATTCTTAAAAAAACGTTTTTTCACACTTTTTTTACATCATGTACATGCAATATATATAATGAAATAAATAAAGAAAAATAAGTTATATATTTATATATTCAGTATACATTTTGTATGGTTGTATCGGAGCTTGTTCGTGTCCATGTTCATTTCCACTCGTAGGAAATCGTAGACGATTAAAAACATCAACAAATATGACAGCTAAAGCTTCATGAAACATATTCGCCAAAGTCTGAGAGATGATTACAAATAGAAGAAAGTTTTAAGAATTGTATTTTTGTAGACAGCAGATTTTGTTGTAAATTGTAATGTTATGTTGTGTAGTGTGTGACTGTGTCATATTATAGATTATATGATATAACGGATATTATGTTGATGTAAAATAGTATAGTCATGTTAAGAGAACACTTCCTCACCGCAATGCGTCATTGCGGTAGGATGTAGGTAGAAACGGGATGGTAAAGTTGTGCGTCATATGTGGACGCCCAAAAACCACTTCCGAATAATTATACATAAATATAGCTTGCAAGCGTTGGTTCGGGAGTTCGGAAAAGTTGTTGTTATTGGTGTATGAACTGGTCATACAAATTTGATGAATTAGAGTCGTATTGCAGAAGGCAGATTGTGCGAAAGATTTCAGCGATCATGTACTGCGCAGTATATGGATGTTACAGTAACAGCAAAAATAATTCTGACAATTCTATTCATTTTTTCACTTTCCCAAACGGCGTAAAAAATACAGATGAAAAAAAACGAGAAAAAATTTGGATTGAATTTTGTAAAAGAAAGGGTTACAAACCTACAAAGAACTCGACTATTTGCTCTCTGCATTTTGAGAACGATGCCTATATACCATCCTGTTCGCCGTCTTTTCTAAATTCAATTAACTTTTCGGGGAAAAAGAAAGCCATGCTAAAGGGTGATGCTATACCCACATTAAATAAACCCAAGACCGCAAGTGATGCTGAAAAACTAACTGCAAAGAGTCGATGCACAGGCAGTCACTCGAGAAGAAAGGTAAAATGTGAAAAAGTCTTTAATATTTAGGAAAAGAAATTATTTCTACTTTCACAGAAACTTGCTAACTTTAGTTTCTGGCTATTTTGCTTCATGACAGGATATTGATGCCATGGTAGGAGAATACATAGAGAACAAATGTGCCCCAGTCGAAGAAGAAATTGTATACGCAGATGCATGCAGTTCTCGTGGGGAGGTTATTTTCCATGAGAACTCAGATTTAATCCAAACAACGCACCATGCTAGTTCTTTGTCAAAAAGAAAAATTACACAAAATAAAAAAGACAAAGCGACACAAATTGGAAAGCCGTGCAGATGCTACAATAATCAAAAACAATTTAAAAGTGTCGCTGTTCAAACATTCATAACGGCAGAGAGACTAAAGGCAGACCTTTTACAAAAAGGCAAAAATGACATCCACTAGTTCACAGACAGATGAAACAAAAGCCACTCTGGGTTGTGTACAGTTGCCATTTGGCACATCTGATATTGGTCTTGACGATAACAGATTTTCCAAAACTGTGGACAAAAATGATAGAAATGAATATGATCAGGAGCAAGATACAGATACTGAAGAATTCGTACTTGGAGATACAAATAGTGAAGACTCAGAGTTCGAAGACAATATTAACAGCAATGTAGAATCTAAATGCACGAGTAAGATTTTGTCACGCAACAAGCTTCCGCAAGATCAAAGGAAATTTATTGTGTTTGAAGATTCCCTGGTTGAATGTTTCGATCGCTGCTCTAAATGTGGTAGTAAATGCCTTGTTAGCGTAGCAAACACCATTGGAACCTTTTCCAGAATATCTGTTCAATGCTTACTAGACGAAACCCATAGCTTTACATGGTGCACAGGCCCTTGTGTAATAGACTACCGGTATTTCACCTGATGCTGGCCTCAGGCATCTTGGCCACAGGGCTAGAATGGGCTAAGGTTCTTCGACTTCTCAGTGCATTGAAAATAAAATGTTTCACACGTCGTGAATTTTCAAGATTGCAATCGGCGTATGTTATACCTGCCGTGTTCAATGTTTGGGGTGGTGAGAAAAAGAGATTGTTACAAAAACTAAAAGGACAAACTTGCTGTATTGCGTCAGATATGCGAGTAGATAGCCCAGGTCACAGCGGGTTGTTTGGTTCCGGGAGTTCTTTGGACGTCGATAACAATGTCATACTTGATACACAGATCATAAAGGTAATGACAGAGCTTATTAACATATTATAATGATCGTCCGAAAATATTCCGTTGATATAATATAGTCTTCTTTCGTATGATATTTCTCTATACTTTATCAATACTCAGAGCACTGAACTCAAGAATTCCAACGCCATGGAGCTAGAATCCATCAAGCGTCAACTTGCATACCTTGAAAATGGTGATGTTAAAATTACCAAGCTTGTGACTGACAGACACATCCAGGTTACATCTTACATGGCTAAGGAGAAGCCAGAAATAGAACATGTTTATGATGTTTGGCATGTGGCCAAAGGTGCAGCTAATTCTCTAATTGCAAGTATTAATCACTCAAATATAAGTGCATCAGTTGTGAATCAAATCACTGGAATTGTGAATCATGTGATGAAGTATGATGTATTTAAATTGAACCTTTAGGAGAGAAAAAGAGGTTACTTAAACTTGTAAAAAAGAAGAAATTTTGTGCAATTAAGCCTTGGATTGGGGTAACTACATTTAAAAAATGTATATCATGCCATTCCAGAGAAGTATGAGTGATACTTGTAGCTATATCTTAAACTTTATCTAACAGTCCATCATAAATCATTTGTATTGGGTGGCAAGCTCCAGCAGCACTGAAATTGAAAAAGAAGAAAAGTGGAAAAGTTTGGCAAATCACATTGCTGATATTCATACTCATGAAGACAACAAGGTGTTTACCAAATGCTTGCATGAAGCTACTAAACGGCAATGGTTAAAAAAGGTAAAGGGTAGTATCTAGCTCCAATTCATTCATGGAGACTTCATCACTATACACAAAAAAAATAAGTGCACGGGGCACCTGTTCTTTAACAGGTCTCGAAGCATTTGCATGTATATTATAATCTTGCTTCCTATCAATCTATTCATAAGACTGACCTCTTTATACTTTTAAGGTAGTGCAGCTCATAAGAAACTAACTGAACTTATTTCAAGACCAAGATTGATAAGTGCAGTTAGAAAGTTGTCAAGTCACCAACAAACATCAGGCTTGGAGGCAAAGCATTCACTTGATAATCTTTTGCATCAAAAATACATACTATCCATATCACTCAATCATGGCCAGGTGAAAACATGCATTTTTTCTCACATATTTTACTTTAAAAAAGGGTTGCTTTGACCAATAAAGAGTAATGTGTTATTCCAGCCTATACAGTTACCCATTGTGAATTTTTCAGGTTATTTTGTGCAAATTTACATTATAATGAAAATGCTAGTAGACCCCAAGCAACAACACGAAAAGGTGATAAAAGATGGTCAGTTGCATACCCTAAAGCTCACAAAGGAGAAAAAGCTGTGGCCAAACCAATAAGCGACTGTCCTACCTACAGTAAGAATTAATAGACAAATTAGAATCATTAATGACAAAATGTTAATGCAAAATACATTTAAAATTTTCAGATTATGTGCAAGATGTTCTGACTGAGTGTCTGAGACTTCGCAAAGATTTCAACACCACAAAAATAGCATTGGAGAATGCAAAAACATTGCTTCCGAAAGAACCTCCCTCACTTGTGGAAACATACTTGTGTGGGAAGCAAAGGCAGCCAAAAAATGAAGTCATTCTTCGCAGACACAGTAGATTTACAACGCCTGCTTTGCCCGACGATAAAATAAATGACAAAGTATGTCTTTGCAAGGGAAAATGTGCTACAAGCCGATGTTATTGTAGGAATAAGAATCGTCCATGTACGGAAAGTTGTGGTTGCCAAACCATGAAATGCAACAATACATGATGAAAATTTAAAAGCCTTGAAATCGCAAATACCTCAAATCCAATTTCAATTTACTTGGCATATTTGAAATGAGTGTAAAGTGCATCAGATGACCAATACTTCCCTCGTATGCATTTGTACATGCAAGATGGAAATGGCCTTCGACATTTCTTGCCAAGAATATGGAAAATCCATCTCGAACATCTTCGATACGCAACATGACGGTATATTTTTTTGTATGACTGCAAGTTCGTCATCACCTAACGGACTGTTTTCTTCAATATACTGCCAAGTATCTATTTCAAGGACATTTGCCGATATGTTTTGATTGAAGAAAGCAAGTTCAGTCACGCAAGACAAGCCTGCATCCTGTGCCGATTTAAGTTTGCCATCATATTCGTCATATTCAACCGCTTTTCATGAAAGCAAAAGCATTCAATCGTTTTGCCATAAACTCACAATGGCCGCATTTACAGCAACTGAGTGAAGTTTTACGCCAACTATACATAGCTTCAAACTCCTCGTCTATCTGATCATCTACTTCGCTCGACGAAGAACTTTCTGAGTCAGAATTCTCACTCTCTACAAATTCATCTGGCATTGACTCAAACATATATGACTGAACCATAGCATCTTTGTTAATATTTTCCATTTTGAGTGCTGTAACAGCAGTGTAAAGTCCCAAACTTTGCGTAATAAATGAGAATGCTTGTCAATTTGCAATATAAACAATATTCATCAGCGACAAAGTCTCCCTGTTGTGACGTCACATATGAAATATAATTATTTTGGCTGCTCATTTCAAGATGGCGGAACAGCCCTTGAAATAAGCAAACTTTCATTCTAAATTGCGCTTTAAATATATATTTTCAAACCGGAAAAATAATGTTTTACGGAATACTAAACTGCAATGAATGATATCGCGACATGAAAAAATATATGTCCCATGTCCTTTAACTTGTGCACTCTAGAGACTGTTGACCTTCTTTGCTGAGTTTAGAATGGTCAGGAAATACGCCTAGATAAAAACAAAATAGGAGATACATGGATGCACTATATAAGTTGACATGCAGTTTAATGGCTTGAAACAAGAGTAAAAAATAAAAACAAATTGGTGCAACTACTGAGAGGTTAAGCTGAAAGAATTAAATGAAAGAAAATCTTTTCTTCAATGTCAGTCTGGGAAAAAAGACAAAAGAAAAAATATATGGAATTAAATCATAGCATAAATGTAAAAATGGAAAATAGCAAGCCACATGAATTTATCTTATAAGGTCTTCGCACGTGAGTGCACTGCATCCGCAAAGGGCATGTTGGGCATTAAACTACAATGAAAAAATTATTCATGAAAATTAATTAGTTGCACAATAGAGTGAGAAAGTCATCTTCAAACTGACAAGTATACATACCATTCAATGTTATATTAATACTGTAATCATCAGGAAAGGTGTGTATATCAGTGCCCAGATACGGAGGCTAAAGGGTACTATCACTTGTCTAAGGTGAACCCTCAGGCTGGTGGTGGGAAGGAGGTGCCTTACTTCTCCATTCCAGACAGGCTCCAAGCGATGTCTGACCACTGTCCTATCATCTACCAACCTCAATTTATTGTTTTTCAGTGGAGCATTGACCTCGAGGATGTTCTTTCATTGGAGCTTTGCATTTAGTACATTTGCGAGTACTTTTATTCCCAGCGCTATTTACAATTTGATCCGCATCATCTGTTAGGTCTTGTAACTTCTGTCTTTGCTGTTCCACGAAGGAAAAAATGCAGATCATTACATCCTAAAATAATTGTAAACAATACCATTATCGCATACTTAAAGCACGCATGAAGTGCATGACTAACATTCTTGCTCCTCGCAACATATTTTTTTATTGCCTCAGCCTTGGATCGTTTGGTGGGAAACTGGCTGCACAAAGGTTCTGGTGTTTTTCCTCTATATCTTTCCATTATAGTTGAAAGTTCTTGTTTATTAGACATGAATAGAATATTCTTTACCTGTTCAACATATTCTACATATTGATATGAAAAATAAATTGTTACTAATGCTTCAATTCTCATATTCTACAAAACATTCTAAAAATTAGCATACCATAAGATGGCTTGACAGACACTTCCCGCACTACTTCCTCACCCAACTTATACTTATGGAAATTTATATAATGCACCACTTGTCCCTTTGTAAAGTGGTCGGGTTAATCAAATAAATTTTGTTATTGGCTACCTGCTTCAGAAATACATTTATAAAACGTAACTGTATGCTTAATCTCTTTCATTTTACAATTTATATCAATGATGAGCGGAACACACTTTTATTTGACATTACCTAGTAATGCATCTCTGCCTGTATTTCCAGATAATAAAGTTTCTGGTTATCGTGTAAAATTACCTCACGTTGTGAATTTAAATGGTAATTGGGAAGTAGGATTGTATTCAATTACATATCCTCATACATGGTACACGTTGAAAAAAGTTTGGATACACATATATATGTAACTTACAAGCCAGGTCTACCTACTCCGGTAATTGTCGACTATGGCTTGTATGAAAAAGCTATCGACCTAGTAAAAGCAGTTAATGAGATTCTTGACAACAAAATAAAGGAAAATAATCAATTGAGTTTTGAGCCCCGAACACAAAAAGTTAAAGTCCATGTGGATTCTCAGGTTAGCAGTCCGATAGATGCGTGAGTCGGAATCGTATAGATTAGAAGTAAATAATTTTTATTCGATCTAGTAAATAATGATATAGTATAATTAACAAATGTGCAGTTTAACAGTATACCAAACGAGAATACATGAACTCACTTCTTTGCCGGGTCCTCACGATCTACATTAATTTCAATACAGGTTAGCCGATAGAATAAAGTAATACAATGATGAAGCTTTCGCCCTGGTTAGCATGTGGTAACTGTCAGCTGCACTATAGACTCAAATCCTTTTTATCCCAATGAATATTGCGCGTCAAATTACGCGTCAGTTAAAACGTGCATAAATTAAACTCCAGTGCTAAATAATTATATCCGTGCAGTTTGTCAGCAATCCACCATGTAATACAAGGTTACAAAGTATTATTTAATCAACAACTGTCGTTCTTACTCGGCTTTGGAGCAAAATAAGTAGAGATTTCGAAAACAACTGAAAGCCCTTATGCTTCTGATTTGCACGGTTCTGTCATGACGTATGTATATTGCAACTGCGTACAAACGCAAGTTGTTGGAGACGTCAATGTAAAATTACTAAAGGCAGTTAATATTCAAGGAAAATATGGAGACATTGTTTCAAGAACATTCACTAATATTCAATATAAATTGCTCGTGACGAGTTTCCAAGGGGTTTTGCTTTGTACTCTTTTGATTTGACGCCTGATATGTGTAGTACGGGTGAACATTTTAATACAGTGCAAAAAGGAAATCTTGCCAATGACGTACAATTCTCAACAGCACCAACTAATGCTGCTAGTCTTGTCTGCTATGGCGAGTTTGAAAATATAATGTGCATCGACTCTGAAAGAAAAGTTGTCTATGACTACGTTGGTTAAATGGACACCTCACAAATCATGTCGGCTTTGAGATCGGATCCTGTTAGAAGCAAGAAATCTCTTGGTGTTTTTCGAGCCAATCGTTTGCCTAAAGTAATCAAAAGCTATTTGAATGGGCTTATAGCAAACACCGATATCAGCGGAAAACCTTGAAGTCATTGGGTTGCATTTTACGTTCCGTCTGAACGAAAAGCCGAATACTTGGACAGCTATGGACAGCCACCAGAGATTCTTTAGAGACTATTTGAAACATTATGATTGGGATTTTATTACACCCAAAATATGAAGTATTTAGACCGATGTATGTGGACAATATTGTATATTTACCTAAGCCTAAGTGTGCGAGGCCATTATATGAGAAAAATTATAGACATGTTTGATGGTAATACTGTTAAAAACCATAAGAAATATCGAATTTTATAAACAAACATGTTCAAATAGAAACTAATGTAATTCCTAACGAAGGAAATCATTCAAGTACAAACTTATTTTGTAAAAGATTGAAGTGTTTCAATATCAATGAAAAAGTTCTTTGTGTAACTAAATTGCTTGCGTTTTATATTTACGTATTCTAATTGACAACAATCAGGAAATTGATATCAACTGCGATATTTATTTAAAGAAAAAATCTTTTACAAGACATATTTATAGCTTAACCAACGTAAATGTGTTTTCTTGTTTGTAGAGGAAGCTTTGGGCATTGTCAATTTCGTTTTTGATGAACTAGGATAAAATGTTTCGTTTTCTTTACGTGGTGAAGTTTCCATTTGAGCCTCCTTCCATCTCATATCGTTCCTAACCAAATCTCGAGGAATGTTTATTTTTTGTAAAGCACGAAAGAATTCTTTGGACCCTTGAGGATTAAAATTTTTCCTTCCTCTCACAGCATCGCTAATTAGATCTGTTATGTTTGATTGCAAAATGGTGACTCCCTCAAATTTGACTTGTCCAGAACCGTCCCAAGATATTATACTCGGTGTGTTCTGAGACGCTGCAATATTGCTTTCGCCCGCCCACGCATAGTTTTTGGCACACTTTGTACAATGACAGAGTCAACTAATGTCTGATTTTCATTATCGCTTATTGAGTTATTTTCATTCCCATCAACAGTGTCTACCACGCGTACCACGGGTATCTGCTTTTCTGTTGCTTCAATTTAAGGAATTGTTCAAAGTTTGCGTTAAAAAGTCTTTGTCTTTGATCGTCACTCACGTCGTCTTCTTGAAGAATATGTGAGAGCTGCGAATCTTTATTCATTATATTCATCATGATCAGACTAGTTTCAAGATTTTGTTGGTTTTCGTATCTGTTAGATACATCTTCAGCAACAAGAATCTTACGTTTGACATGTTTCATTTTGTGAGCAATCTTCCCAATACACTTATAT